CGTTCTGTGTGCTTACTTGCACGATTTTTTCGACTTATGAGTTGAGTTCTCTGACAAGGCAGCCTTGGTATTCTTTTTGTTGCACATTGCGCTCGTTCTTTTTCATTCGTACTCTTTTTTAACCAATTTGTGGGCTAATTTTCGGGAATTTCATGTATCGCTTATTTATAGGCGAAGAAATAATTTGATTGAGCTGTTCAAGTGTAGATTGCTTCATAGTGGAAGAGAATAGCAAGAACGTGGTACGGGTGAGGATGCCAGCTTGGAGGAGCTTAGAAGCATGCTATAGCAAGAACATGGGCTGAAAAGTCTTAATTTACTGCTGTCAGGGATCGGACGAGTGAACTTACGACTCATCCTGTGTTGCACTTGTTAGACAAATGTTGGAGTAAATTTTATAGCTCTGAAACGGCGCTGTTCTTTGGTCCTCCATCAATTATGCCGTGAGCGCCAAATGTTAGTGATTTTTTGAGGTCTCGTGACGAGTTATAAACGTGCAGTTGTAGTCACCCAACTGTTCCATCGTTTTTCATTCGAACGGTTCACCACCAAAGATCCTGCTCAAAGTACTTGCGTGACATTTGATTCTTTTCCCACGTATTGTTTGTCTGAATGGAGTTGGTTCTGTTTGCATAACTACGACACTTGGAAGTGGTTGCGGGCATTTGCATTTTGGTGGGCATCAAGAGCTACCATCATGGTAGTGGGTCTCACATGTTCATAATCAAGTTGGAAAGATTGCTCCTTAGGCTTTGTGAATTTCAAAAACGGAATTTGGTTATGTCTTTGGAACCTTCGATACCTTTGGTTGTGCAAGTATTCATTGTCTCCTCCCATTAAACGATTAATGTCAGAATCCAGTTTTCTCGCTAATTGTTCCGGTTTTTATTCGAAACATTAGTTGCTTCCGTTGTGGAATCATCTATGAGGTGAGATAGCTCGAGGTCGACTTAAGAAAGAGTCGAGGCTTTTTCCGAATCTAATATGAAATGATGATATGAAATAGACGGAAGCTGTGTAACGGTAGGTGTCCGAATACCACGCGCATTGCCAGATATGAACCTGGATCGAGCCCCCCCCCCGCACAGATGGATGCGTTGAGTCGGGCAATTGGGATCAAATTCGGAAGGTTGAATGAAAACGATGACTTTGCAGAAGCTGGTCATGCAAGTCACTTCTCAAGTCGCATTGAAATGTCGCCACTATTCTGAATGGAGGTATTGGGTTGGAGCATAATATCGTAGCGTTTTTTTTTCGAGCTACAAATTCAGTGAATACAAGTATTACCCAGGAAATCACATATATCATTTGAAAGTACTTCTTCCGCTCTACAATACCTTGTTTGCATTTTCTTCTATATTGTAAGTGTACTCAGATATGGTGCTTAGAAGTTGGAAAATCAAGGTGGGCGAAAATCTATATGAAAAAAAGCTGCCAAAATAGGAGTTTTTCGGAATCCATCGTCATCATCGAACCTTACTCCCTCAATTTCAAATCATATTCACGTCGTACAAATTGAGAATAATGAGGACTCTGAAAACGGGCTCAGTACCCTTTTTTAAATTCTGAATCCGGTAATTTCTTGCGAAATGGAATCAAAGTCGTAAATAATGACGAGAAGAACATCACTGATTAGTTTTATGCTTGGCTTTGCTTTTGGGTTTTGCTTTAAACGTTTTTGCCGAATGCGAGCGCTACGATATTATGCTCCAGTCCAATAGAATGCGTGGCGCACTCCCAAAGTCCATGTTGATTTCACCCAATCTTCCTCCATTTTTGCTCAAGGTAGGCAGGGCCTTAACGGGGCTTTTAAAACATACGTAGTTGAGTCAAAGCGATAGCGTCATCTAACCGAGTGCTTCATTGTCTTGAAAAGAATGCCGCCACATTCAGCAGATTTCTCTAATCCGACACAAACTGATGTTTTCTGTCTTTTCTTACACGGAGGTAATGTCGCTGCCCTTCCTTGCTTTCGATGTGTTCGTCTGGTCTAATGCTAAATGATTGTGGATGGGTACGTAAACACCATTAATGGTAATTGTGAGCGCGGTCCCAAGTGATTCACTTCGATCGCATGGAGAACTCGAAAAAAGGGCTAAATATAGCTATTATAAGGTTGGCATAGGCATTGTAAGCCGTTCATCTTTTCATCACCCGAGGGAGGAAATATGACGTAAAGGCAATGAAATAGAGAAGGTACGCGAAAAAAATGGTGGAATTTTATGACACTGCGAAAATTTCTTACGTCTCATTCTCAGCAAGCAAAAATTCTTGAAATAAGAGCAGTGGGCAGCGAGGAAGGAAGGAGCCATTTATCACCCATCTCCTCATTTTCTGCTGTTTATATATGATTGACTTGTTCTACGCGCAAAGCAATCCCTCTTCTCGAGGCTCTTCCTGAGTGTAACCAGCCAGATTTCTAAACTTTGGTGTTCTAGATTCCGTGTATTTTCTCGAAGGCTTTCCTTGAATGACTCAGAAGTAATTCTGGTATATACAAAGTTGACTTTCCTTTGAAAATGACTTCTGATCAGGAAGTGATCGATCTTTGTTGGAAAAAAATCGTTTCCGCCGAAGACGATAACAATTCCTTCAAAAACTGTGTAAGACCTGCACTTTTGTGGAATGCTTAAAATCTGTTTGTGACCACTTGTGAGACACTGCCCGCGTAAAAACTTGCCTGTCGAGTATTTCGCTGAATGTGAACTGATAGGGGTGGTTTTGCTTTGCAGTGGGGAGGGTGCAAGACATTCCAACTTAATGGCCCTTGAACCTTTTCAAAAAGAGGTGGTTCTCTAGCAAAACTTATTTGATCTATCAAAACTATTTTCTCACTCCACTTATATTTATTTATTTATTTACTTCATATACAGCTTGTAGGTGTGGCATAAATTATATGTAATTCGATTCGAAGGAATCCTCAACGATTTCTATTCAAGTGGTCTTTTGTGTTGAAATGGATGGTAGGAATTCCAGCTCTGGGTTTTTTCATTATGTTTGATGGTTGGAGTGAAAGTAGGATTTAGTGGGTGGGGCCTGTAGGGGACCCTCTCAAAGTTGATGATAGTGGTGGAAGGCCGTAAAAATTGTGAAGGAGCGAACGCGAAGTCTCTTGCTCCATAGAAATCTCACATATTTTTCTACCAGCACAACACCAGTTCCGGAGGAATATTTCCATTTCTCTAATCTTCCTTTGTGAGCATGACCTTTGAGAAATTGCCGTGCGCAAAGGTTGTTGACGTTCCACATAAGCGAATATTTCGTTAAGAGTAGTGATGGGGTCTTGGGCTGCACTATAACTAAAGCCAGTGAAGTTCGGTGTGGTTCACCTGGTTCAGTGAAATTGAACTTGGCGTTTAGCGCTGGTCTCATTTTCGAATTTCCACCTGTTACCACAGGCTCACACATATGAATTCAATGCCAAATATGGCTTTAATGTGGTAATCTGATTAGGTCTGTTTGTTGAGTGGCGAAGTGGGGCTTTCTGTGGACAAACGTGCTATCGCAGAGTCAACAGGACCCTGCAAAGGTCGTGAAATGCACCTCAAAGCAGACCGCCCAATTGATGGCCGTTAACCTTGACTTTTCCACTTCTTTTTTGTTGTCTCGTAGTACGCAATGACCGCGTAAATTGTTCATTGACAGAGTGGATTTCTCAATGACAAATCGCTGTGGTTCCACCCCGCGTGTTATCATTGATAGCACGCGTGAAGCACCGCCCGACGACGGCAATCAAGCCGCTGGTGGCAGACGGTGTGGAAAGACGGCTGACACATAGTGAACCCATTGCATTGTATTCTTACTCTGCTATGTAAATATTCAACAGCTATTGTTTTCTTCGAGGTGGAAAATCCCTCTGTGATCGCTTATCAGATTAGTCCTTTCCCGCGCGTACTTTTTGTTCCCTGTTCGACGCTCTTTCGCTGTTTTTCCTTACTGTTGTTGCGCATGGCCCGTTCTTGTTTTCGACAAGGCGCGACCATCAGAAGTTGTTGTGTCTCGATTTCGCGCTATTTCGTCTGCTCGTAGCGTCGAAAACAAGCGTTTGAACAAATTAGTCTGGATGTCTTGGCCCGAGCGGTGGAGATTCTGACACACGAAGGCAGCTTAGATGTCTGCTAAAGTACATACGAATTGTAATACTTTCAAATGTCTTGTGAGTTGAACCTTCTCTGAAGCTCTCCTGTGCCAGGCTCCGATAACCATAAATGAAGTGCGTGGGTTTTGCCTGCTAGACTTTGTTGTACCCATTTTGCTGAACGTTACGCTACGAGGCTTCTTAAGTTAGCTGATTCCCGCTTGCCCAACGTTTTCCTACGAACCCTTAAGAAATAATTGGGATGCGGCCAGAGAGTAGTAGACATCTTGTTGTTGCTATCATAGTTCAGTGTTGTGAGGATTTCACGGAGAATAACGACGAGGCGGGCCAGGGAACTTATTGATTAAGTGTCGGGTGAACTGGGAGGGCCGGATCTCTGCCCGCGCAGTTGTAGGCTGAGTGCGGGGCGTGAAGGCTCGCCTACGGATTCGTTCCAGGCTCTAAGATGATCCCTACGGCCGCAGTTGGATATGGACTTTTTGTTTCGGGGTGTTTACAGATCAGTAATATGTGGGAAAATGATCTAAACAATTCTTCTATGAGATCCGTCCATATTCTAACCCGCACTTGAATATTCAACTTTCATAGGCTGAACTTTGTTAGAAATGCGTTGGGAGTTGCTTGTATCCGTAATTGCTTTCGTTATGAAATATCGGCATGTTTTTTTCTATCTCGTCAAGCCATTCAATGCCGCTAATCTCCTCGAATGTCGAGCTGCCCAGGCGTCATTTTGTCTCGCTTCATGTCATCGCAGCGACTTGTTCGCCCTGATTTTCCGGTTTTCTTACGTTTGATCGGACTTCCGCGTTCATGATGTTTTCGATCGTTGTTCATGTGAGTGTGTACAGTGCCGACTGGTGGACATGGTACAGTAGTCTGTTGTAGATAACCTCGATCAGTTATGAGCATTCCATGCCCTCCGCCACCTGGCGAGGAGCCCACGGCATATCAGAGCGGATCTCAAGGCAAAAAGGTGAGCTGAAGTGTTTTTGCGGGGTTCAGAAGGGAACAGATCCAGCAGCAGCTGAAATTTCTTATTATAGATCCGCATAGGAATATGTGCTATGAATCGCAAAGCGACGAGCAAGCCGATGAGGGCTATCATGTCGAAAATTGTCGATTATTATAAGGTGAATCATTCATGTTAGCTTGTATTGCTATTATGGGATCGTAAAAGTATCCGTCGGGTTACGGTAGAGTTTTTCTCTTGGAAAATTCATCTGCCTTATATTGCACCTTTAATTAAAATTTTATTTATTTGGGATGAATTATTCATCGTTAGATTCTTTCTGTACTTCTTTTTTCTTTATTAGTGGTACTGTATCGACATAGTCATTTATTTCTGGTGAAGACCTTCCGCGGAAACGAGCCTGTCTTGGAAATGCTCTCTAGTCTTGATATGATAACGAATAATCAGTGCCGGGTGTGGTGATAACTTGAGTGTGTTTACACAGCTGATCAATGTACGACGATCTTCGAGCCCTTTTCGTAAGCAATTAGAAGGTGGGGAGACTGTACAAAATGTAAAGGCCGGTCTGCATTGAAGTTGGAAGAGGGAGATAAGGGTTTAGTGAAGGTATGGGTCGGCTGTTTGATGCCCCTGAAAGGTAGTAGTTCATAATCCTTATTTTAGCTCTCAGAAAGATGTTCAACATTATCGCGAAGGTATTTTTGAATGCCATTCGAGCGCTTCAGATTTCTGGGCTTCATGGGAAGTATGGGACCGTATAGTGCTTCTTAGGTGATTTGCTCTAGTAGCCTCAATTTCTTCTAGATAGATTATGAAGGACTTTTCGTGACTTGGCTGAAGGTATGCTTAAGGTCCAATTTTAAGAGGTGAGGGAAGAGGAGAGTTGAGCGCGGGCCGAGGAGCTGGGTTTTCTGGTTTTGTTTTTTACTGGATGTGTTTGAATGTAGTTTCCATTTTGATTACCCGTTCACGATATTAATTGCACATTAGCCCCGATAGATTCCGCCGGTGCCAGTTATTTGTTGGATTAATGCAATTACAGACCGCAAGTGTTGTATTCAACGGGTGTTTGCTTGTTCTAGCCTAATCCATTAAAAATTCGGGTTTATCTCCTATCGCTTTTCTTTTAGTTTCCTTTGGCAGGGGTTTGGAATACTTTGGAGAAGAAGTGGTAAGGCTTGATCAGTGCAATCACCTGTAGTTTCACACTTCTGGGCGATTTTCTCTGTGTCCCGTTGCCCCTGAAGTAGGTGTATGCGTTGTAATTGATCTGTCTGGGTACGTTTAGCTTGGTGTCGTAATGTTTATCGTGCAGATCAGTGGGTTCTCGAGTACCACGTGTGTCTCGTTGCGAGCTCTTGTGATCAATGACGTTGAGGAATTTGACCGGAAGTGTTGTCAATGTGATCCGATAACTTTCAGAGCGACCTTCACTTTTCATTTCTGATCACAGGTTTTTGTAATAATGTGACCCTGGCTATAGCGGGGATGCGTTTCTGTGCCTTTGAAACCTAACGAGGTAGGATTGCTTAGCTTATTGCAGGTTAGGGTTACGTTTGTAGAAAACTAGGCAAAGAATCTACTCAGGAATACCTAATTTCATTTTAAATTATTCTGGCCCTTAGGCGAATTGATACAGTGCAGTTAGAGTTCCTGTTGTAGACTTTGTCAGATGACTGCTGATGCTCGAAATGTTACACTCTCCCAAATGGTGCCACTCACTCGTCATGCTCTACCCACTCCCACACCCGTTGCGTTGGCGTGTGAACCGTTGTGTCGTCTCGAGTTTCAAGCGGGGGTTCAGATAAGGATTGGCTAGAATGAGCCTACCCATCTCCGCCTTGCTTGGTGGATATTAGGATTTTACGTGACTCTTACAGACAGACGTGGCACTATTTACCCTTTACTGCCCCACTCCTCGAGAACTGAGCCGGATTTTTATCGAAATTGGTCATTGACTGTGAATTTGGAAACTTGCCTTCGGGGGTAATTCGACCCGTAGAACACGAATATCACATTTGTTTACCGCTAGAACGCCTGGCGCTCGCGTCAGAAGCGCCGGCGCCAAAAGGCGCCAGAACATCTCGGATCCCCAAATTCGCTGGAAAGTTGTCCTCAGAGGTATTTTGACCCGTAGAATATGATTATCACATCAGTTTGTTACGAGTGAACCTGTAGCCTGCGCTACGAGCGCCCGCGCAAAACTGTTGTGATAGCGCCGGCGCCTGTGGCGCGGGCGCCAAGCGTTTTCGCTCTAAACCGGTATTATATTCGTGATCTACGGGTCAAATTACCCCTGAAGGCAAGTTTCTAGCAAAATCCACAGTCATGGACGAATTTCGATCAAAATCCGGCTCAGTTCTTGAGGAGTGGGGCAGTAAAGGGTAAATAGTGCCACAGACGTTTATGAGTTTTGAATTAGCACTCGGGGATCGAGAAGTTGTCATAAGGTGATTTTGAAGAACTCTGGTAATCGTCAAAAAATTTCTGGCCATGGTTTGAGGGGTCCTTGAAAGGAATAACGCTATTAGACAGGGTATTTTGTGTGCAAAAGAGACGGCTCCCAAGTATTCTCCTGGGAATTGTAGTTCAAAATTAATGAGGAAGCTGGCTGCTTCTGGCACAGCTTGAAGTAAATTCCCGTAAATCATCGTGAAAGTGCGGAGATCCCACTTGGCGATTGGTGTTTCTATTTTCGCTAATTGCTAGCACTTAACACATGGCGTATTCACAAGTTCTCTGAACTTCAAGAGGGCGACAAGCCAAGTGCATGGCGCAGAACTGAATATTTTTTTGGTTCTAGAAAGATGATTTTACAGTCACAGTTCAGGATCGATTCCCGTGTGGGGCAAAGTGTTTTGGTCATAACGCGGCGTACTTGTGGTAATTATGATTTTGTGATTTCAGGATTGGCTCGAGTACTTCATTTTCCCCGAGTCCGTAATAATTCATGAGCCAGTGGATCGGTGGCCACTTTGCGATTGCCTCATCTCGTTTCATTCCACCGATTTTCCTTTACACAAGGTCAGTGTTTATTTTTTATCTACACATTATTTGTTATTTATTCCGATTATTTTTTGTTATTCCATAGGAAGAGAATGGTTTTTTTCCTTGTTTTTGTACAGAAACAGTTTTCTTCTTCTCAAATAACCTCTTTCAGGCGATTGAATATGTGAAGCTTCGAAAGCCATATGTTATTAATGATCTCAAGAGACAGTATGATTTGGTTCGTTTTAATCGTATTTTCTGATTTTTACGACCGCTTACATACTTACTATTTATTAATCATGAATTTCAGCTAGACCGTCGGAAGGTGTTCCGCACGTTGGCCAAAGAAGGCATTGAACATCCTCGTCATGGTGTTTTAATGCGGAAGCGATTCCAACGAAGGAAGGTCGGTTCCTGCGCGTTTATGAGTTTTATGTGTTGACGTAGGAGACTGAAGGCGCCGTGTAATGTGAAAATCGAATTTCCAAATAGCGGATAATAGAGATCCTAACTTGCTGTCTGTAAGAATTCAATTTCCCAGCCCAGCCAGGCAAATTCTTTTTTCTGCACTTTCTGTATAGCTCCAATTTTCTGCGGTGTGGGATGCTAGATTTGGGATTGTAATATTATATTTGTGGCTAACATGAAAGTCTCGAGGGAAGGGGAATGGGTATTTGGAAAGCAAGACTGCGCCATGCATTTGTATATAACATGGAAATGCAGTGGCGCTTGGGTCCATCCGCCCAATCGCTGAAGTTATGTGCCATTTATAAACCCCACTTTGAAGTCAGGTGGCCCTCTGTAAAACAAGAAAGCTGCAACTTCATATAGCAATGAATTCCATCTAACCAGAAAGCATTTCGAATCGTTGGGACCAAAACTTCGACCGCCTTACGAACATCATAATTTTGCTTTCTATAATAGTATTTTTTTAAATTCTGCGTTTTAGACGGAATACTGGTAGAGCACAATGACCATATCGAAGTGAATGGCATGGTGTTCAATAAGCCGTTCGTCGAGAAACCCGTCTCAGCTGAGGACCATAATATCTACATCTACTATCCGAGCTCAGTTGGTGGAGGGTCCCAACGATTATTTCCGAAAGGTAACTAGCGAGTTTTTCATATTGCATGAAAAATAAGCTGAAAGCATTGAATTTCAAATAATATTCTTGCATATTTAATTTATGGGTGCTCATTTTCTTCCTTGTTAGATTGGTGTGCACTACAGTAGCTCCTTTAGGGTACTGTAACAATTAACGGGAAATTGGTGAAATCAGCGCATGTAAGTGTCTTACGAATACGGAATGTCCTTTTGCTAACAATGGAGATTGAAAGATTTTCTACCAAACCCCTCCGATACATAATTCTGCGGTGTCTGATTGTGCTTCTACCACTGTCGCTGCTTTTCCACGCCCTTAACAATTTCTGTTGGTGTACGCTTATTGAATATTTCGACACGAATTTTGTAATTATCTTTTGATGTGTTTGACTGAAATTTAATGAGGTGTGAGGTGGTGAGCTAACAGTGGTGTCTGCTGTGAATCCAACTAATTGGCTTCGGGTGCTTCCCTACTGAGTGTTTGTCAGAAAGATAGATTCGATATTCAGAAATTCAAAAGTTGGCATATGCTCTATCTCAACATCAAATTGTCTAAATTCCTATGAGTCAGTGAAGGAGGTTGAACGTTCTAAGGAAATGTCGTAAGGGTTTTGGGTGAAGAATTTCTACGAAGAGCTCAAAATTCAGGGTGAAAGGAATCCTCATTTCTGGACAATGTCCCTTTTCTGGGCAATGGAGAACATAGTGTAAATATTATGCAAGTGGTCTCTCTACCAGTTCCACTTCTTGACCACCACTCTGGATCGAATCCACATCATGCGAAGCAATCCTTCCACGATTTTTCTGGAGGGATGAAAACATTGGTTTCCCAGCTGCCTGAATCGCATTTAAATGCCACCTCGTTTTTGCTGGGAGTGAGATGCCTGGTGCATCCCCAACGCAGTTAGCAATCAGCCCCATATGATTTCCTTTTTTGACTGCTCCTTGAACTTACCCATATCTAACAAAGTTAATCCTCCGAATTTCAACACCGGTCAACTTCGTGTTGTTTGACCCAATGAAGAGTGCAGGTGTAGATCACTGCTTGCCGGATGGAACTGTAGGCAAATATAGGTGAATTCCAGCACAGCAGTGTGGATTTCAGATCAATAATCGAAGTAGTTGGTACTCTCCGGTGAGCGAAGTGCGGAAGGATGGCTCTTACATCTATGAAGATTTTATACCGGCCGACGGGACAGACGTGAAGGTGAGGCGCATTTCTATTTCCATCCCTCAGTTCCACTTCTGAGCTTTTCACTCTTCTAACAATAACTTAATCAACCAGTTAAATTTGAGCCAATGTACTGTTTTGTAGGTCTACGCCGTCGGTCCGTACTATGCTCACGCTGAAGCTCGGAAAGCACCTGGTCTCGATGGAAAAGTCGAGCGAGATGCTGACGGTAAAGAAGTACGGTATCCGGTAATACTGAGCCACAAGGAGAAGATGATCGCTCGACGAGTGGTGCTGGCGTTTGGCGTAAGTTTGCTTCTATTTTCTTTGAGGTTTTTCGTTGAGAATTGGAACGTATTGTTCCTTGTAGCTACTAAATGGAATATTCTGATGCAAACCAGCCATATGTAGGAATTCCTCTATAGGAAGTGCCACAATAACTCTGGAATTGCATTAGGAATGGCTTTATTTATTCTGTTGTTTGCCAGTGCCAAGAAAGTAATCAGTGAGGAATGCTGTCGAATGGCATTTGTTTGTTGATTGATGGCATGGCAAACAACAAAGTCACCGAGGTGTTAATTGTAATGTGTGTCCTGGATCCTGTAAAAACTAGCTAGGGGCATGAAAATGTTTATTTTCTTGCAAACGTCATATTAATAGTTAGTTTCATATCAACTATGACGATGGAGTCGAATTTCAGCAAACCGTATGCGGATTCGATTTACTGCGAGCCAACGGGAAGTCCTATGTCTGTGATGTCAACGGCTTTTCGTTTGTAAAGACGTCAACTAAGTATTATGAGGTAAGCATCAAGTGATTTTTTGGGAACATGTTTTCTGGAGATATTGAAATTTATTAATTATATTTTCCCTAATTTTTTTTGGAATAGATATGATTTTTCAACTCCTGAGTTTTTACCTTTTGAAGATTGCTATCGAATCATTTCTCTTTGAAGGATACAGCGAAAATTCTTGGCAACACTATTATGCGTCGACTGGCGACAACGATGAGTGTACGGATACCATACCAGTTGCCGGTTGGAGAGCAGGAAGCCCCGCCGTTGCTCGATCTAGGCCTTGGAGGTGAGCATTTTAGCTTGTCTGTGGTACTTCCATTTCTAGAATTTTTTGGCGTTCTTCAAAATCAATATTTGGTGATTTTATTAAAATTTTGAGTTTATTCTCATATTTACAATAATCTTTACCATGCCTGTTGTAATACGGGCTGTTTGAGGTGTTGTATGTTTTGTCGATTAAATTATGAAATGGTGTTTTAAGATGATCCTCCGATCGTATCGACCCCGTCAGGAAAACTGATGGAGTTGAGATGCGTGTTAGCCGTGATCCGTCACGGGGATCGTACTCCAAAGCAAAAAATGAAGGCATGATTTGTATTTATAGTTGTCATTTTTCATGATTTAATAACATGTCTGGCAGTTTACTACACCGATTTTATACCACAAATTCCTAACTGATCAAGTATTTGTCAGTGAATAAAAATCTGTCTTTTCAGGTTATTGTGCATGATGAGCGGTTTTTCGCGCTATTCAAAAAATACGATGGATTCAAGAAAAACGAGATCAAAATGAAGCG